TGTTCCAGAACTGTGAAGGCTTTTTTAGATGTCGTTTGGCAAACTCTAATCTGGCCTTCCTGTTTTTGAGGCTCACCAATGGTTTACATCTTGTGGTGAACCCTCTGTATTCACGCTGGTGAAGTCTTCTCTTGATTGTTGACTTTGAAACACATACACCTACCTCCTGGAAAGTGTTCTTGATCTGGCCAACTGTTGTGAAGGGTGTTTTCTTCACCAGGGAAAGAATTCTTCGGTTTTCTGTGGTCTTCCGGGTCTTTTGGTGTTGCTGAGCTCACCGGTGCGTTCCTTCTTTTTAAGAATGTTCCAAACAGTTGTTTTGGCCACGCCTAATGTTTTTGCTTTCTCTCTGATGGGTTTGTTTTGTTTTTTTCAGCCTAATGATGGCTTGCTTCACTGATGGTGCCAGCTCTTTGGATCTCATCTTGAGAGTTGACAGCAACAGATTCCAAATGCAAATAGCACACTTGAAATGAACTCTGGACCTTTTATCTGCTCATTGTAATTGGGATAATGAGGGAATAACACACACCTGGCCATGGAAAAGCTGACAAGCCAATTGTCCCATTACTTTTGGTCCCTTAACAAGTGGGAGGCACATATGCAAGCTGTTGTAATTCCTACACCGGTCACCTGATTTGGATGTATATACCCTCAAATTAAAGCTGACAGCCTGCAGTTAAAGCACATCTTGTTCTTTTCATTTCAAATCCATTGTGGTGGTGTATAGAGCCAAAAATGTTAGAATTGTGTCGATGTCCCAATATTTATGGACCTGACTGTATAGCTTTTCCTTTGGCTTTAGCTTTCAGGCAATCCAACCATTACCATTATACTATAAGGTCTTCTCCACTTTACAGGGAACCTAAAAACTTGTTTGTTAAACATAAAGAAGTTACTTGGCATAGCTTATTAAAAGAAGGAAGTGTGACTGGTGGTAAAACAGTCACAACTTCTGTTTCCTGATTGAATGCTATAAGTGACAGAAATTTCTAATACTTCTTGTGTTTTAACAGAACACAAGAACTTTAGGCCGTATGTTACAAATACAATTCCATCTTTGTGGCAACAGCACAGTCCGCTATGAAAAAAACAACATGTAACACTTCTAGCTGAAATATTATAAAGGTCAATATTTTATAAACTGTAATAGAGATTATATACACAAATATACACACACACCAATAACAGATGCAGAACAATACATACAATTATATTGATGCAAATTACTAGGTGGCACATACAAAATGGAGCTGGATTCAGGATGGGAATTTTATACAATGTTTAGTAAATCTACCATTATTTAGCATTGAAAAATGTAATACAAAACAGCATACAGTAAAAAGATGGTTTTATTTGCATGCACATTTACACATTTCTTGTAAACAGTCAAATCTATAATACTTGGTATATCCAACAAACTTTCAAATTCAGAAAGTTTAAAAAAAAACAATGGTGAGAATATGGACCTTATGTAGTTATTTTATCCCCCCATTGCCAGTTAATTATTTTAGTGCAATTATAAAAAGAAACATTTAAAAGGTAACACTTGTGTTACCAACAAAAATCATATAGAAATCTGCTTATATGTTACACCTGCTTGGATAGAAAATGCTTTGCTACTATGTGTAGCACAGACAGTTCTATAGTTCTTTCAGTATAAAGAAGCAGTATTTTAGAAATGTAATGGCACGCTCCAAAATCCCAGGTAACTTCAAAGTTCAGAAAACATCTTATAAATGCGTGCAAGTTGGAATTGCCTCCATCCTGACCTATTAAGTAGTGATGCACCGATATATTGGCCAAAACTAGGGTTATCTGTGTTTTGCTCACAGAAGAAAAAAAAAAAAAAGATGCAGAAAGTGATAACTGACTTGTAGTGCAAAATCACATCCCAAATACTTCAATGCAAAACCATGTCCCATAGACTTCAATGCAAAATAGCGTCCCACTTACTTCAATGCAAAAACACCCCCTATTGCCTTCAATGCAAGAACCCCTTTTTTTAAATTTTATATACATTTTATTTTCTGTGTGTTACTTTCAACAAAAGTTATGTTACGTTACTGGATTGAATTTTTTTAATTCATATTCATTTAAACTCATGATATTAATTAAAAAAGTCAAATATAATACAATTATATATATAAAAAATATATTTTTTTAAAAACTGTCCATTTTTGCATTTCGGCTTTCGGCCAAGCGCATCCTGAATTTTCCGTTTTGTTCCAGAGTTTTCATTTTGGAGCACCACTGCTATTAAGTACATGGCACTTAGTATGCGGTCTTCCAAGATGAAGTGTGAAACTCTTCATTTCATTTGCCAGTGACCCTTAATTTAGTTTTTTTCTGAAAGCAAACCCTGTGATACTTGATGCAATGGTTTGCACAATCTCCGTTAATCCTAAACTCTGCACACTGGGTATTGCCACTGACAGCTGCACCTTTAAACCAAACTAACGCTAACTCACGTTCCTTCGCAATCCTTAACCAATCTTCTCTAAAACCTCTCAACCACAACAGCACAGCTGAGGCCTGCTCCAAAGTCTACAGCTATTGGCAGAATACTTCAGTACTGGCTACGCCTATGCAATAAGTCCTCCTAGATTGAATAAGGCATACTATGAGACAGGGGGTGCTTAGAGTGTAGTCCTATACAAATCTATAAAGCCAGCAATAACAGATATTTAGAATATATTTACAACAGGATTTTTGTATTTACCATTAAATCCTTTTTATAGAATTCACTTAGGGTCAAAGGAAGTAACCTACTGTCAAGTTATACAACTGCCTACTGTATGACCAGACACTGGCAAACAAAAACCACTGGCAAGCCCAATATAACCTCTACTATTCCCAGCATGTCTACATTTGTAGCAAACAGAAGCGAGAACTTGATCATAAACACAGAGGGGTGGGACTTGAGTCCCTCAATGGACTTCAGCAAACGGATTTAATGATAAGTACAAAAAGTAATATACTGCCAGGACGTTCAAATGTAGAACAACTGAGGAGTGGCAAACTGCAAACAACTGTTAACAGACCAAACAAAATCCATACCTGGGGTCTGCCTGCTGCTCAAGAGCTACCTAAAAGACTACTGATTCTGAGGCCAAACCCCCTGCTTGATAGGGGAACCTGTCATTACAACTGAAAGGATGCCATGAAAAGCACTGGGAAATACATTGGAGCCAGCACCCTAAGGAATGCTAAGTAGGTCAAAGTACAGTCAATGTTGTCCCTAACTAACCTAGCGGATTAGATGGTTCCTTTGGAAAAGGAGAGGGGTAATGACACTGATGCCTGCATGACCCTATATCCACACAAACATCAGTGCTCTGACTGGAAAAGGAAACGTCAGCATACCAAATCAGTGTTCTATCAAATATTGTCAATGTAAGGTCTCGTTCACTTGAGCGTACTTAAGCATACGCTCATGCACAGGCAATGTTTGCCTGCACAGGGATGCAGAGGTGTTTCATGTATCCCTGTGCAGACAGTCACATTCATTTCATTTGGGACACAATGACTGCACTAACACAGCTGTTGCTCCCGGTCTGACAGTCATGCAGTTGAGTGGCCCCAATCTCGCACTGTTTTTGTGGCTCCACACCTGCATGTGCACAGCTGTTAAATTGGGAGCAGTGGCTGCTTCTGTGCAGCCATTGTGCCCTAATTGACATGAATGGGACTCCCTGCATGGGGATACACAGAATTTGTGTGCATCCCCATGCGGGCAAACAAAGCCTTTGCACTGGCACACGCCCATGTAAATGAGGCCTAACACTCTGAACATGACTACAAGATAGGAGAGCATGAGACAATTTCATCAGTACTTTGCTGTTCCTCCATGGCCCAGTTTGCAGTCCTTAAACCAAGCTACATTTTTACCTCCTTTAGAGAATAAACTAGCTGAACAGAACAAATGTTTTGGAAGGTATGACAATTCACATATACAGTATGTATTTCAACCTTGTATTTAGCTTTTTGCTAGGAGTTTAGATTTAATGGGGGAAATGTACTAAAACTGGTGAACTCAGAATCTGGTGCAACTGTGCATGGTAGCCAATCAGCTTCTCAGGTCAGCTTGTTAAATTAAGCTTTGACAATAAAACCTGGAAGCCGATTGGTTTCTATGAAGAACTGCACCAGATTTTGCACCATGCAGTTTTGATAAATAGCCCCCTTTGTATCTAGTTTCAATGTCAGTGCCGTGATTGCTCTGAAAGTGGAAGATGCCCCCTTTTAGCTAGTTTGTTAAAAAGGTATTACAGAATATTGCAAATTATTTCCTGTCAGAAGGGTGGCCCTAAATGCAGTATTCTTCGTCTGGGTACAGGTCTATTATGATGTGACTGATTCTTCTTTGGAAAAATACATCAACCTGGAACAAAGACTTCACTCCACCCCCAAACTAGGGCTACTGAATTCTGTTTTATTTCAGCAATAACACTTTAAAGATAAACCTAAAACAAGTCACAGACATGGGAATTTTATCTTTCATTCTAAATGATCAGGTACTCCAAAGATACCAATATGCATTTCCACTATTCGGTGCATGTGAGAGAGGTCCAATAGCTTGTAAACAATAATGCTGGTATATTTCTACAGTTAGTACAGATAGGAGAGGAAGCTGTCTAAACGTTCTTATATTATTTTTAGCCATTAGTCTTGCAATCTTCTTTGTTACAAATCTCTTTTACCATACACCTTTAGAAGCTCAAACATTGTTCCATAACTGTACCTTAAGGGTGAAAACATCATAGGAATGAAGAAATATTTAGCTATATAAAAGACATTAAGATGGTTGACTTTAATTTTAATTATAGTGTATCAATATGTAGGTCTGGTGTCTACTGAGCGTTATCTCTACATGTACTATGTGTTCAAAACATAAAAATAAATATGTGCAATGAAAAGCAGCATTAAACTATGTGCATTGCCTTTATTTGTGTTCCCTCAAAAACTTGCCTTCATCTTTAGAATGTACATAAAGTACTTCATCCTGTCAACTCCAAAGGTAACTCCCTACCACACAGAATCTCCCACTGGCGGGCAAGAAGCGATATCAACTTTTCCCGGCAGTCAGCACTTGGAATAAAGATGTACCACTGTACTTCTTGATTATTGCCACAGGTTTTCTGAATGTTGCAGGGACTTAAAGGTTCCGCAAAATGATCCATAGATAAACTGTGCATCAAGTCTTGGTTGCTAGAGTCATCAAACACGAATGTAAGAGTCTGAGGATAAGTTTGGTAGCCCATCAGCACACGGTCTAAATCCCGAATACGCCTCCCATCCACTAACTGGTACTTATCTTTTTTCGGGGGTTCTTTGGCAAAATCAGGAAGTGGGTAACTGATGTAATCTTCATTGAACAAAAACAGGTCTGAGCTTGTGAGAATGAGGGTTTTAGGTTGCAGCAAAGCTTCTTGGTCAGTTCCATCTACTGTGCTTACTTGGAATGCCAGGACATACAGTAAAATGTTTAAAGATGGCAATGTTCCTAGAGAGTCAGTTCTTTCTGTTACAATGTAAGTAAGATCCCCAATTTCTTCTTCATTTGGATAAATAAACTTCACTCTGCTGGAATGGATCATTTCATAGTTTTCCATTGTTCCTGGAACAAAAAAATGCATAAAATATAATTTTGTGTTATATAAACCACATACAAGGGAAGATAATTGGAAAGGAGGGAACATCAGTGCTTGTGCTGCCCAAAACTGAACTGCCCCAGTGTCCCTATTTGCTTCCAAAGAGATATGGTTAAAATGGGTGTGTTTTTTTTTTATCCAAATGTTGATGACTTAAGGTAGATCCTAGTGGGGTAAGCACAGAATAAAATCAGAGATTACGGGTCCAATCACACCAGCCGATGCGTTTTAACACAGTGGCTGGTGTGCGGCGCGATCCAGTAGGATCACTGCACTGTACGCTTTTTCAAATGGACTTTATTGCCGAGCACACAGAAAACAAGGCATTTGCCTTGTCAGTCAGTGGGACCGCATTGGAATAACTGCCCTGTGCAGTCCCACTCTATTTGGTGTGAATCGACTGTAAATCTAACCTGATTTTAGGATTAAAATACTTAAAATGTATGCTAGTAACCAGTCATGGACTACTAATAGCATCTTCACCAAATTTCTGACTAATGTGTTGTAATTAACTTACCAAGAATACTTATCCAGTCGCCTTCCAGTAGTTTTTATCCCCGTCATGACCAGCCCATTTTTTGCCATTCAGCACTTGCCCTATAACTGGAAATTGTGCAGTCACGCAACACTGTACCCAAACTAAATTTTTAGCTTTTTTTCACGCAAACAGAGCTTTCTTTTGGTGGTATTTGATCAACACTGTTTTTTTTCAATTTTTTGCTATATAAATGAAAAAAGACCAAAACTTAAGAAAAACACAATATTTTCTACTTTCTGTTATAATATATATCCAAAAAATAAAAACAAATTTCTTCATAAATTTAGGCCAAAATGTGTTATAGCGTCCAGAAACTATGGTTTAAATATCTGAAAATGTATAAATTCTGATGTACTGATAGCAGATCTAATTTATGAGGCCCTTAAAATGTCATGAAAATACAAATACCCTCCTAAATGACCCCATTTTGGAAAGTAGACAGTCTGAGATATTTAGTAAGAGGTATGGCTCTTTGTAATTTTTTTTGAAAATTGTAATTTTTTGCCACAATTTTTTTTTCCATACTGTCACCAGTGCAGTACAACATCATTTTAGAGTTGGTGTGGGCGGTGATCAGGCATACGGACTGCTGATAGTATGTTAAAAAAAAAAAAAAAAATTGTTTTAATATTTTTTTCTTTTTTTACATACAGTCATCAGGGTAGTTCAGTGTCATCATAGTGACGCTGTACTACTCTGGGGGGATCAGGGATTTTTTTTTTTACACTTTGATTGCCGTTACAGTGATGATCACTGTAACAGCAATGTTTTGCATTGCACTGTCATTAATGGGTTACGTTCATATCAGCTGTGATTACTATCGTTTGCTGTGATTGGCCCACAGTTATCACACGGTACAGGGTGCTGTGATTGGCCCAGGTACCATGTAATAGCCATGGGCCAATCACAGCATCACTATAGCAATCACAGCTGAAATGAATGACCAGGTAACGGGAGCCACAAAGCACAGTGTCCGGTGGACTACTACATGAGCTACCAGTCATTGTAAATAATCACTAAGCAGTTGCTACAACTTATCTGCTTGTTTTAAACAATAGTTTTTTTTTTTTTAAGTATTTTTTGTGGGATAAGGAAGTCCACTAATACAAACAGCTTGTTAGCAAGAAACCTAGGGTTAAACTGCTGCTTACAAAAGGAATGGACATATGCATATATAAAATAGAAAAAACAGATCCCTTGGGGTAAAACCCCCTCTCACCTCACATCTGCTCAGTTGTAGCATGGTGGTATTTAATCAATACTGGGGTTTTTATTTTTTGTTAAATTAACAAGAAAAGACTGAAAATTTTGAAAAACAAAAACATTTTTCTTTGTTTCTGTTATAAAAGTTTGCAAATAAATAATTGTTCTTCAAAAATTTAGGCTAAGATGTATTCTGCTAAATTTCTTTGGTGAAAATTATCCAAATTAGGATGTATTATTTAGTTTGTAGGAAACTTATAGAGTTCACAAACTATGGGATATATCTGAAAATTTATCAATCCTGAAGTAATGAGGTCCAAGAATGTTGGAACAGTACAGATATCCCCCAAATGACCACTTTTTGCAAAGTAGACAGTCCGATGTATTTCATAACAGGCATGGCAAGTTTTTTGAAGTTGTAATTATTTGTCATAAGTTTTCTGAAAATGAAAAAATTATTTTCACTATTTTTTTTTTTTACATACTGTCACCAGTGCAGTACGGCATCATTATATAACTGGCATGGAGGTGATCAGGGACACTGACTGGTAACAGTATGAAAAAAAAAACCTGATAATTATTTTTTTTATTGCATTTCTCTTTTTTTTCATATTTCACTATGACCAAAGTATTATATTACCATGTAACATTGTACTACTTTGGGGATGTGATCAGTATTTTTTTTTTTTTACACAATTTGCTTACAGGTAAGAATTACTTTGCTATAAACAAGCATTTACCTGAATTACATCGATTCACTCAGGGTTTTTTTTTTTTTGTGCTTAGCTGTGATTTGGCCACGGCTAATCACATGACACAGATGGGCTGTGATTGGCCCATCTTGTGCATGTGATCGCTGTGACCATTCACAGCTAGACACACTTGTATACAATGGATGGCATGAAAGGAAGCCATCCATTGTATACAACCGTCATGTGACCTGCTGTGATAGGTCACAGCAGATCACGTGGTACTTGGCAGCGGGGCCGGTACACAGGTCTGTCATCGGCCGTGTCCAAGGTACACGCCGGTGACAGATCGTGCCGCAGTGGGGCCCTGCGGGCGGGCACACTGCGCATGCCTGAAAGGACGCCATATGGTGTCTACCTGGAAAGACGAACTGTTCGCCCGGCCGCCATCTGGCTATAGGCCGGGTGGCAACTAGTTAAAGAGCTCAGAGAAAAGTATTTTGCAGTGAGTACACAGAGGAATTTTGACTCACCTGTAAATTCCATATCTTAGGAGTACAGTACAGGACAGACAACTTATTCATACACCATGGGTTACCTTCAGGTGACTGGACAATGGCAAGTCAAAATTCCTTTGATTTAAATCATACAGTAAAGGACACAGGCAATTTATTAATAAACCATGTTATGTCCCCAAGCTATAAATACAAAGGTAGGCAACAACTGGGTAAACAAAACTGTGTCAACTGGTCCAGGAAACAAAACACTGGTTAAACCCCCAGTTTAGAGTGCTACTGCAAGTACCGAGTGACGGAAAGCTGCATCTACAGAAAATTGTACATACACCTGGTAAAACTTTGAAAAAGTATAAACAGAAGACCAGGTGGTGGCTTTACAGAGTTGGGTGACTGAGGCATGGTGCCTAAAGACTCAAGATACTACCACAGATCTGGTAGAATGGGTGTATGACAGCACAGGAGGTAGGGATAAGAGCTCCCGTTAAAGCTGCAGAAGGCTGGGGGGGGTAGGGGAACATTCCCTCCCGCTGCTTGTAATAGCAACTGAGTGGCTAGTTAGCTGTTCCGGTTGCCATTACAGGATAGCCAACAGTCGGCTCTAAATAATGGTACTGGGATCATGCATGATCCCAGTATAATGGTTTAAACTCCACGACATACAGGAAGTGTTTAACCATTTGCCGCCCTCCCTATGGCCGAATGGCGGGCGGCAAATGTCATCAGCATTCTGGGTGGACGCCATATGGCGTCCTCCAGCACATGCGCAGATTGCGCTCCTGCACAGCGGCGCGACCTGTCACCGGCCGTGTACAGATCTGAGTATTGGCCCCATTGCCTGTACCATGTGACCTGCTGTGACCAATCACAGCAGGTCACATGACATTTGTATACAATGGATGGCTTCATTCATGCCATCCATTGTATACTAGTGTCTAGCTGTGAATGGTCACAGCTAATCACATGCACATGTCATGTGATTAGCTGTGGCCAAATCACAGCTAAGCACAAAAAACAAAAAAAAAAAAAAAAACAAAAAAAAAAAAAACCCTGCATGAATCGATGTCATTCAGGTAAATGCTTGCTTATAGCAAAGTAATTCTTTGCTATAAGCAAATTGTGTAAAAAGAAAAAATACTGATCACTTTCCCAAAGTAGTACAATGGTACTATGGTAACATTGTACTACTTTGGTCATAGTGAAATATGAAAAAAAAAAAATTTAAAAAAAAAAAAAAAAATATATATATATATTTTTTTTTTTTCATACTGTCACCAGTCAGTGTCCCTGATCACCGCCATGCCAGTTATATGATGACGCTGTACTGCACTGGTGACAATATGTAAAAAAAAAAAATAGTGAAACTATTTTTTTCATTTTCTGAAAAATTATGACAAAAAAATACAACTTCAAAAAACTCGCCATGCCTCTTATGAAGTACGTCGGACTGTCTACTTTGCAAAAAGGGGTCATTTGGGGGATATCTGTACTGTTCTGACATTCTTGGACTTCAAGAAATTAGATTGGCCGTCAGTACTTCAGGATTGATCAATTTTCAGATCTATACCATAGTTTGTGAATTCTATAACTTTCCTACAAACTAAAAAATACATTCTAATTTGGGTTATTTTCACCAAAGACATGTAGCAGAATACATCTCCTCCTAAATTTATGAAGAACAATTATTTATTTGCAAACTTTTATAACAGAAACAAAGAAAAACTTTTTTTTTCAAAATATTTGGTCTTTTTTTGTTAATTTAGCAAAAAATAAAAACCCCCAGTGGTGATTAAATACCACCAAAAGAAAGCTCTAGTTGTGTGAAGAAAATGATAAAATTTTAGTTTGGGTACAATGTTGTATGACTGTGCAATTGTCATTCAAAGTGTGAGAGCGCTGAAACCTGAAAACTGGCCTGGGCAGGAAGGGGGTAAAAGTGCCCGGTATTGAATTGGTTAATTTAATTGGTTAATTTAATTTCACTTTGTGGACTAATGGACGAACACTGCAAACTGTATGGC